GCGTTCCGAATCTTGATATATGCATGTGTAAATAATTCAGTAAATAAAGTTTAGACATGTGTTGTATATATGACACGCACACACGTGCGCACGTATGTATGTATATATATATATACATACATACATACATACATACATACATACATATATATATATATGTTATTTTATATATATGCATCAATAATTTACTAAATAAAATGTATGTAAAAGACAGAACAGTATAATTAAAATAATTATCTTCATTTGTATTCATATGTAAATAATATGATATGTTTCTTGTTTAGGAAGAAATTATTTCAACAAAATTGAAATAAGTAATATCATATTTATTTTATTATTTTTCCTCTCAAAAGAAAAAACTTTGACCAGGGCACGTTTTGATTGATATGGGCCTGAGTAGGTCGATAATTCAGATCATTTCTATGGTTCAGCGACGCACTTTTCATGACAGCGCCGCTGTCGGAATATCGCGGAACTAAAATACTGCTCAGTTTCATGGCTTCACGTCAATTTCACTCGTAATATACAAACGAAATTTTTGGATGCACCTTTCTCTTAAACTAAAACTCCTACCGCGTTTCTAAAAGCATGGGATTGTTCGTTTAGGTTTTCTACAATACGCTAGCTACTTTTCATGAACGTGCAAGATCTGAAACTCTTATATGCAACACATATTGTGATGTGTTGACTACAGAAGCCGATAACAAAACTGTAAGTCTTTAATTTTTTTTCGTTTTTCGTATTCAAATGTAGCTGGCGCTTTGCGTTGTTGTCGATACTTTAATTGTGGAGAAGGATTTTTCAGTCCATAAACACAGTTATGAGAAAGGTGCTTTTAAAATTTAATGATAAAACAGGACACTCCAGCATCCCCTTAATAGGAATATTATTCGATCAGTAGTATAATATTTTGTCATTGAATTATTGTCAATAGGAAAATCATTCACATTGAAAGCTACTCATTTATATAATCTAGTGGTGGTTCCAATAGAATTTTACCAATGGCAATATTTTACTACTGAAGATTTTATCACTGACCAGTGATAAAATTTTTAATAGTAAAATATTATCTCAGATAACCAAGCGTGCGATATCTCACGATACCCACACAAAATATATACTCCCGCTACCGTACTGTTACTGTACTGCCACGAGATGGCGGTGTACGGCGTAACTATATGGTAGTAGTATAAAAAGTGTACATGATATTATAGTACAATGTATCAACACTGAACTGCATACTGTTTAGGTACATCATGGTACATACCCGTACCGTATCAATACGACTACTACTATCGACAGAAGAGAGAGATTGTGGAGACCTCTAGTCAAAGACGATATACATGATAATTAGTCCTACAAAAGTACAGCGTGATTTTCTAACCTGAAAATAGTCGTTATAACATTAAAATTAAATATTAAATAGTAGCTGACTGTTCAGTTAAACTAGACAAATTTCTATCAGGACCATATATTGAACAGATGTATTATTACATATCTAGGATCATATAGGTATTCGTGGATCATCGAAGTGCAGTGGTTTCCATATGATTTTCGAAGTTCAAGGATAATGGATGGCAGTATGCAATTGAATTGATGACCGCTTCGAAGCACTATAAAATTAGTTCCCAAATTTAGGGAAAAACTTTTTTTTGTCATAATTTTATGATGTGTATTCTGGAATAAGATATTAATCAATAATAATACTCATTTTAGCTATAAAATTAATGTCCCATTGAAAACATTACTAGCCAGTGATAAAATTCTCAGTGATAAAATATTACTATTGGCAAAAACTCATTCAGCTTGCTATAAAATACTGTTGAAAACACCATTCATTTTCAATAAGTTTTTCAATGATACTTTTAATAGTAAAATTATCTGTTTTTTCGCGACGGGTAAAACAATATTAAATATTTTTAAAATTATTTGTGTCTGTTTGATAAGGGTTTATTTTTAGTAGTATTAAATTGATAATATATTATATTAATATAATATATTATATTTCCTTTTCTTTTGTTTTAAATATCGCTGATTTTAGCGCCATCTTTGATGTATGTTCAAGTCAAAATACCAACATAAAATTGGGGACGAACGAAACTTCCTATGTCGACGATGTCTCGAGAAAGTTACATTCCATAAAGCGCAACGTACTCACTGTCAAATTGCTGCGACAGGCACATGTGCTTACGTGGATAAGTCGTGCAAGTTTGTATTTCATAGAAGAATTTAAAAAAAAAACAATTCACGTGCTTGTTTTATTACAAAGGGTAAATACTCTAATGTCAGTGCCATTGCAAACTGTGTTTGCTTCGACATCGCAGTGAACATAAACGGCATGTCGCGGAAAATGAAAAATCCATTATTGTCCGCGGCTGGTTCAGGCTTTCCCTTCGATAATTACGCAGAAAATACATTGCTGGTGCCAGTCACACCTGCGACACCAGCTGTGCTCCGAGATGGTGAGTTCATTCAATAAAATATCGTGGGCGGTGTTCAGCAGTTCTGAAAATTTGGCGTATTATCGGTATAGCTACAGAGAATTAGTTGGTAGCCGAAACAAAATTCAAAAAGGAGCTCTGCTCCGTTTACTTCACTTCGTTGTGCTTAACTTCTCCAGCATCATGCCTCTTTCATATATGGTCATGTACTGAAATGCACTCGTAGGCTAACATCTGTTATTCAGTCATCTTTTGCTCTGTCGGCATTACAGTGACAAAGGCCGTGTAATGAAAGTCCCTGACTCCAGCGTGAAACGTTCGCATTTATCTAGGTCAACCTAAGCAGTTTTTATAAAGTGTTTATCAAATATATGCACAGAAGTCACAATGACACAACAGGCATCATGTAAGATGATTTCTTTGCGTGTGCGATTTTGCGATGTGTTTTAATTAAAAGATAGAGGCTTTAAACTATAAAAGTTTTTCCAAACAGAATTGCATGGATGGATTTGCAAGAGCTACAAAATATATATTGGATTTTTCATATATAGCATACATGAAAAATCCATCAAATAGATGTCTAGAAAATATATTATGTTCTTTAATAAATAATTTAATAAATAATTGATTTGACTGGAAATAGAGGAAGTAATAAGTTTTTCATATCATATGATTTTAATTTTATATGTGGACGTATAGATAAGTTATATGCATTACTCCATTATAGTATTAATTTGATTTATATACACAAAATAGGAATTAATTTACATATATTTATTTATTTACATTTTAAATAACATTTTGGAAGTTTCATTTACAGTTTTTATGATGTAGTTGATCATGATAATGATATTACAATTGATTCTTACAAATACTGTTAGAAACTTGTTCTTTCGGCTCGAGCAGGTTTTGATCTAGAGCCATATCTTTGTGTGTAAGGTAAATCATGACTATTCCTTTTACGAACACAATATACTATTGCAATAATGACACATACTATAAGTAAAAGAAGTAGTAGTGCACCGAGTACGACAGCTGCTATTTCTCCTTGTGATAGGTTGTCCCATGCTGTTACATCAATATTACGAGTGTACTGATTTTCCGATATATCTATTGCTGTAATTGTAGCTGTTGGTGTGCAGCAAGTAGATAAATAGTAAAATGTAACTCGATCCTTTGTGCCACTTATATAGTTAGTGCGTGGGTATAACCCATTCGGTATTGCTATTACACGTTTTAAACCTGTATAAAAAGAAAGAAAATGAATGATTTGATTATACAAAAGTTTTTATTATTATTATTTGATTATACAAAAGTATTTATTATATAATAGTATAATATATATTTATCCATATATACTATTACACAATTTATTGGTTACCTGAATCATAATCTTGGACAGTAATGTCAGCACTCCAAAATGTTTTTTCGCAACGATCTTTGTCCAATTTACCGGCACAGTTGCTATTAAACCAATATTCAATTGTCGGTTTTACGTTATCAATATTTTTCGAAAGCTCATTGTGAACAAAAATCTGTACTGTTTTTTCCAATATTTCTGTACCAATGATAGACAGTGTAAGCGTATTGACAGTTTCTTGAGTTCCAGCTGGTACAAAAATCTCTACAACTACCTGATCTGTTTGTCCTGGATGTAACCACATGCTAATGGATACAAATTTATGATTTAGGATAAAGATAAACAATTTTTAGAAAAAAATAGATATATATGCTATAAAAATAGATAATTATGCTCTATGATTATATGATAAATTTGTAATTATTATATGATAAATTTGTATGGATTTTATTGCTAACATCATAGTAAATAATGATATTAGCCTCAACTTTTATTCGATGTCTTTAACTAATGTGAAGATATTATTGAATAATCAATGAGATATATTTATATCCTTTAATTCTTACTTGTGACTATTTATGACTATTATTATAAATAATTGTTCATACCACATGTTGTAAATATCACGTGTTTACCAATTTAATTTATTGACTTATATAGTTTCTTTTAAAATTTCTAAGAAAATTTTTATTTTATTAATTATTGTAACTAACTTTTGAGTTATTAAATAATTTACTTACTATAAAATCGGTTGGGTATTATAGATTCTAAATGGAGAACTTCTCGCTCGAATTGCATATCTAACTGGAAGGATGCAGTTATTTGTTGCATCAAAAATCACTCTATGTATTGATCCTGGAACAGCAATCAATTTGCTGTTTACATTTAAATCCAACAGTAACTTTCTTCTTTCGAAAGGATCCTCATTAATTTGCGTTGAAAGTTTTTGACTTTGATCGCTATCCATTTGCATCGATATGATCTCATCGGATGATTTTATTTTTGCATCAATATCTTCATTTAATGATGCGATTTCCGATGATCGCGCTTGAATTTTTTGCTGTTGCTCCTGCAAAGTATAAAATCTTATTTATCATAAAATTTTAATAAAAAATTAGTAAGAAAGTCGGTATTATAAATTTATAAAAAATATTCATAATATCAATAAAAATATATATTCTTTAAATACCTCGATATTTGAAAAATTTGATAAAATCTTAAATTCACCATAACTTATCAAAGAATTGTTACGTAGAATGAAATGATTAATATTATTTTTATCAATTACTGCAATAGATTCACGCTTGTGTGTGTGTGTGGAGAGTGATACATCAGAAAAATTATCTGTTATTTCATCATTATTTTTTCTTGAATCCGTAATTTCTGTTGATCTCTCAAATTTTCGCTTTTTATTTATTATAGAATGTGAATTGACATCATTATTGGCAGCGTTCTCGTTAGTTTCCTATAAAATAATTTAATGTGATTAAAAATATTTAATAATTATTAAAAATATTAAATAATTATATAAATATTATATAAAATATTGTATAAAATATTATATAAATATTATATAAAATATATATAACGTAATTAAAATAACGTAATTGATAAATTTTATTTAACTTACTTCAATTACAGTTGATGTTTTAGCTCGTGTGATATTTGTTTTTTGTTGCGTGTTTTGTATTTTAAAAAAATCTAATATCTTATCTAAAAAATCATTTTTTCGATTAATCTCTAGAGAAAAAAAGAGAAGATAATAAATATAAATTTTCAGTAATATATATTTTAATATGTTGTCATAGCATATGATATTATTTTATTTTTTTTTATATTCTATTGTATAAAGGATATATGTATATATAATATATATGAATATAATTAATTCTTAAAATTTTTATTGTCAAACAGCATAAGTAATATTATTCCAAAAAACTTTTCAATTTCATTATTCAGATGCGTAAAATTTCTGATTGCAAAGGCTTTAAATTTCTACGTCACCAAAACTGAAAATAATAAATTTTTATTACGTTGGATTATAATTATATATTTATCAAAGATAAAAAGCAAAGAATAATTTTTAAAAATGAAATCACAAAGTTATTGTAACTGTGTCTGTATAATACGAAAATCTATGTAGAAGAAATAAATATTTTAAAAAATAATAATATAGACCATTTCGAAACAGCAATTACTTTAACTAAAATGCGTTGGAAATGTAATAAGAAAAACAGGTATATTTGGCAGTTCAATTAGAAATAGAATTGTAGATAATAATAGTATTGGCATCGTTTAGAGAAACTTAATGGTCGTGAGACAGTAGTTATTTGAATTCTCCTAAGAAATATTTGATTGCACGTTTCTTTGTGATTGGAACTATTTGTTTTTCCTAGCCAGTTGCATCTTTTTTTCACATTGTGATGTGAAAAAAACCAAGAATTTTCTTAATCCTTCCTGTGCGAATTAATGAGAAAATCAAGAGTAAATCAAGTAAATATAAAAGAGAAAAAGAGAGAGAGAGAGGGGGAGAGAGATGGAGAGGGAGGGAGAGAGAGAGAGAGAGAGAGAGAGAGAGAGATGTGGCCAAAGGGCAATGAGTAAATTGCATAATCGCGTATCTGCGAGCTAGAAGCTAACAGAGTGGCAGTTGTCAGACGACTACCGTGTTAAGAGGAAGTTAGAAGTTGCGTAAGAGTGCCTGAATACATCTTGCGCATTTTGCCGACCGTTATGTCGCGGTTTATTTGTGCGAAGGTAAGAGTGAGTGATTTCCCTTTTATTGTTACGAGAAAATGAAAGCATTGTATGATGTGTTTATACATATGATAATATGTATATATAAATTCCGATCATAGTGCATAACTGGTAAAGCGACATATATTCCTTTAGACATATCCATGATTTTACATTTATTTCTTCCATTTAAATCACAGTTGTTTCTGCATTATAAAATTTACTTTATTTTGCATTTGCAATAATATAATGATATTTCGGTTTATTTTCCGTGTATGAAATAATATTATATTTTACAAAGGTGTTATATATACTTTACAAACTTTTGTTGAAACTATTATATTCGTGTTTAAAGCCAGCTCAATAATACCTCCAAATTATCATAATTCTATTTTAAGATTTTTTTGGTTATTTTAATGAAAGATTATAAAATAAAAGATAAAGTGCGACTTCTTGTAATATACAATACAGTTATTTTATATCAGAAGCTTCATGAATCAATATCAGTACGTATATGTATAAATGTCAGCAGAATATCTGTGCAGCAATTCATGTTGAGAATTTATATAGCATTCTATAAATATAACAATAAATACGAGTAATATTTTAAATATATTTTTTTTATAAATATATTTATGTTTAAAAAATAACTATTATTTTTTTGTACGTTGTTGCATAGTTAACAACATATTGTAATTTTACTTACTACTTATAGAATCAATGTTGATAATATCATCTCTTGTGTTATTTTCCTTATTTGCTCCATAATAAGCAATTATGTCCATATTGTACTTTGAATTTTTCATCCCCGTTAGCTTCACGCACAATCTATCCGGAAGGTTGCGCGCGCCGACAGCCACCCCTTTTGTGTTGTATATACTTGCCAATGATATTACTATTTCTGGTCTCTCTCTCTGTATCGTTTTGCCTGTTAAAATGTATGTAGGGAGTGAAAATTAATTCTTGAATTAAACATCGTATTGGTTTTGAGGGCAAAGCAAATTAATTGACAATAAAATAATTCTAATATCTGTTCTTTTGCATCATTCAGAACTTATTTATTGATTGTGAGTTTTGTGTGTGAAATATATTGTGTAAAATATACTGTGTTAAAATTAGAAAAAATTTTATAATCAGATAAAAATGCAAAGACTAATTCTTGTATGACATAATCATTTAGTGTGATACAATGAATACGTAGAAAGTAATCACCAGATCGATACTGTCCTTGACGTAGAGAGGTTAATTGAAACTGAGTATACACCGACAATTATACAGGGTATCCCGTAAGTTTTTGCCAACCGTTTTTATATATTATAGATAGAGGGAATTTTGTATAGATAGAGTGCATTAAACTGAATCAAAAAGTCTTCTATCATTATGCAATTTTCGCAATGATTAATAAAATATTAATTACTAAAAATTGCTGAATAATAGTTTTCAATAATTTTGTACTCAAATACTATCAACTTTAAGAAAAATAGCGTGAGACAAAATTTATTTATTTTCTTCTCATAAAGTTCTGAGAATTTTTTCAGAATTTTTTCAGAATTTTTTAATACTTTATATTTTTATATTAGTAAAAATAAGAAAATACAATACTAAAAAGTTGATAAAAAATTCTGAAAAAATTCTTAGAGTTCTATGAGAAGAAAATAAATGATTTTTGTCTCTTGCAATTTTTCTGTAAAATTGATAATATTTGAGTAAAAAAATTATTCAAAATCAATATTCGGCAATTTTTTATAATTAATATCTTGTTAATCATTGCGAAAATTGCATAATGATAGAGACTTTTGACTCAGTTTAGTTCGCTCTATACAAAAATGATTGGCAAAAACTTACGGCACACCCTGTATATGATGCCTCTAATAACAGGAAAAAAATTCATATAAATGACAGAAATATTACTTATGATAATTTGATACAATTCGCAATCTGTTTCACGTATTTTAAAATATAATTTTCTTGTATATAACAAGTATTTTTTTTAAGTAAGGAATTATAATATAGAATGTTTCAAATTTGTCTCCATATATATATATAAGAATAATAAGAATACATTTAGTATTTTTACGTTATATTAATTAATTTAGTTATCATGTATGAAAAATGATATAGTTTTATCTATGTATATATTATCTATGTATATGTGTATAACTATCGGCTATACATATATGTTTAGAAACACATTACTTAAATGTGATATTCGCTATCGATCGTTGTTACTTTATTTATTTATCGGGACTTTCCTAAACATTTGAATGTCGAAATGTGAGAAATTATTTAGAGTATATCATATATAAAAAAATTAGTCGTGTTAAATCTTGTTTGCAAAAAATAGTTTGGATAAAAATATTTTTAAATTAAACAGAGAAATTCTTGTTACATTTAAAAGTAAAGTAAAAAAGAAGAAGAAATTACTCACTAAACTTACTAGGTATTGTCAACACTGCACGCGTAAGATTTCCCAAAATGTTGATTGCAATTCCGGTTACATTGGAATCAGTTTCGAAATTGATTTTAAAAGTATATCCGCTCAAATTAATTTTGTGTTCTAATTTTTTCTAAGATACATATTTTATTAATTATTTCTCTCTTTTTTATACAAACGTATAAAACGTAATTTTGATCTTACCGAAAATTCTGGGATATTTAAAAAACAATTTTTAAATATCTCGATGTTTTGTGGATTAAATTTTGCATTCGAATAAAATTTATCAGTTTTTATAACCAAATTTTTTTCCATATTTACAATGTCACAGTTCATATTAAGATAGATCTACAAATGTTAAATAATATATTTATCGAGATTTTCACGATTTTTACAAAATTAACTTACTTGACAATAATCAAAGATTGTTGAACTTTTATTATCGGTAGATAAATGTTTTAATATCTTGAAATTTGAATTATTTTCTATTGAAAAATAATCTGAAATGATATATAAAATAATTATATATACAGCTTGCTTACAATATTATTTTTATAATTTATGTGTAAGATCTGTTTTTATATTTTATACGTATGAAATATTTATTTACACTGAAAAATATTCGATTTAATATTATCATTAGTTTTTTATTCATGACTTAGTGTGCTCAAAGAACCCGATATTCGAATCATTAAATAAATAATAAATTTGAATATACAAGTATGAATACATCTTTTTGATATTCATCGAAAAATGAATAAATATTTCTCATTTGAGTTGAAGAAATTTTATGAATATAATTATGAATATTTCCAATTTTGCATCCACTCCGCATTATCTGTACATAATTTACAAGCATAAAATAAACAGAAATCTGTAAAAACAGGTGGTTTAGATTTTTTAAAAATATTTCAAAAGATAATATATTCTATTGTCCATCTAAAACTGTTAATTTCTAAGTTTTTGTCCCACCACATCTGATTAAGAATGAAAATAAATAATTCATTTTTCTTTTGTTACAGAATCAAAGTACACTGATTAGTATAGTGCTAAGCACCAGTTAGTATAAGCAACCATTAAGAGGCAACAATTGCTTATTGAAGTTTTCTTTTTTTTTATTTTACATCTTGTTTGAATATTTTGAATAAATATGAATACGTAAAATAATCATTATTTTTTTATGAATAAATGTTTTGAAAACTCACAGTTTTGAATGAATTTACGAATACATTTTTTTAATGTCAAAGTTTTAAATAAATATAATTTATAGCTCAATTACAAATTTTTGTATTCATCGAACATACTAGTTCATGTTCTTTAAAAAATATTATATACCTATACACATACACATTACGTATACAGGGTGTTCAAAAAGTCCCGGACCGGTGAATAACTTGAAAAAAAAAAATTGTTTGAAAAAACGCCGAAACACGTGAAACGATTTTTCAAAAAATCTATCTTTTGAGAGGGGTTGCGACCCCCCGCCCTCAATGGGGCACGTGGGGCACGAGGGGAGTCGAAAATATTAAATAGCAACATAGGTCAAGTGGGGGCTCATTTTAAAGGTCTTTTCGAGACGAATCCAAAACACTACGCAGGACTTTTTGCACATGAAACACACCGTATTTGTTGTCACACATGTACATCAATGGTCGCGTTTTTGAATGTCGATAAAGCCACTTGAAGTCAAAAGTTCAAATCATTGAGTGATTATTATTTTACACTTTATGTAACTTTCTTCCCTGATAAAGCTGTTTTGTCGTAGTTCATCTCTGTAATTTTGAAATCAAGCGTCTTTATCGCTGTTTTTGTGATTATTTTCTTTTTCCTTCAATGTCGTAGATTTTTTCTACATTTATGATAACATGGTTCCTCAGAGAACACGCACATCTTAAAAATCAAATAACTCCGCCGAAAATGATCGCAGCGTCCTCTATGCGCAGTGTTTTGGATTCGTCTCGAAAAGAGCTTTCAAATGAGGCCCCAGTTGACCTATGTTGCTATTTAAGATTTTCGACCCCCCTCGTACCCCACGTGCCCCATTGGGGGCGGGGGGTCGCAACCCCTCTCAAAAGATAGATTTTTTGAAAAATCGTTTCACGTGTTTCGGCGTTTTTTCAAAAAAATTTTTTTTTTCAAGTTATTCACCTGGTCCGGAACTTTTTGAACACCCTGTATAATATATATAAAAATAATAAATTTCATATACATTATATTTTATAAAATATCTTACATGAGATGAGCATACTTCAATATGTTGATGATCATATCTTTTGGCTTATAAATTGACTTTTTAAATCGATATCCAGAGAATATGTAGTTATTCAAAATATGTCTTATAATAAGGTATTGACTGATGTTATTAATGTACGTCATATTATTCATAGCCTTATCGAAAATTTTAAATAATTTCTAATTATACGTAAACTATCAGAATGTGCAGTTAGAACTTACAATTAGTAATTATCAATATCAGCACAATTCGTATAATTTACTTAAATTTACATAAATATTTAATCGAATATGATAAGCAATGTCAACAACAATGATAATTTAAAAAAAGTTTATTTATATTAGATCGCATTATATTATTCACGCTACATTAAAATTATTACCATCTCCATTTCCATTTGGTAAAAATGATAAAAAAAGTTTAATATCTTCAAAACCTTTGCTAATTCCCAGTTGTTGCATACAGTACCTTTTAACAGAAATATTTTACAATTTTTATTTTAAAAAATATTGATTTCTTAGAAATACTATTTTTTAAATATAATTCTCTATTTGCGTTTATACATTACAAATGTATCTGCAAGCTAGTAGAACAAGATAAAAGTTATATTGAAATGTTTACTATTTTTATATAAATATTATTATTATGCGAATTAATAACAAACCTAGAACATTTTGTTTTTTTAAAATCGTTGAAAATCCTTGTCTTCACTAATAAATCTTCGACAATCGAAGATTCTCGTGGAAGAGAGAGAGAGAGAATTTTAGGCTTAGGCGAGTAATCCTTTGAAGTTATTTCGTCTGATCTCGTTTTCATTTCAATTGATCGTTCAGTTCGCGTATTGTCTATCTCAGATATTCTCACATCTGATTGATGAGCATTATTAATTGACGGGAAAACTTTAATGAGCGTTGATCCACTGATTGCATTTCTGCACAGAATGCAAGTCACACAGCACGTCACAAAAATCAGGAACACACGTAATTCCATACCGTGACTGCAACGAAAACCTCGAACGAAAGAGTCGATACAAAAATGTGCGGCATATTTATAAAGTTTCGTTCGCGTAAGTTTACAAAGGGGTAACGTGTCTTCAGTTACATTAACGATAACATGAACGCAAAAGTAAATTTAGGTGTTAACGCGCATTGTTGCACAATTAAAGGTGTTTCGTTATGAGCAAACTTTGATATACGATGCTTCAGTGAACTTATAAATACTATACATTACATTTCATGGACTATTATATTTAATATCTTGATTCTTGCATTTAATATCTGAACGTTTTGAGCAAGCATTTATTGCAAAGTTATGTGATGTTGATAAAGCAATATAGTTTCTTACATATTTTTATAAATACAAACAAAAAATTTTTATCGAAGCTTAAATCTCATACGCTTATATAATTAATTATTAGCGTGTGCATGAAGACTAATATCGAATAAAGCAAGTATGGAAATGTCAACAAACCATTGAATTTTTTTATGCAACAGACATTATAATTATTATAAATTATTCTCACGTGGATATAGATAACTTATAAATATTAAGACATTACAAAAAAGTTATTACAAAAAAGTTGGTAATTCAATGTCTATTAAACTGTTGGTAATCAACTACGTAGAAGTGTATGAATAGTCCACGTTGACTCGCATTATCTTCGTCATTGGTTCTTACGTTCATTGCATCCTGTTCAATATTGACAGTTTGTGAATAATCTGTCGGAGAATTTAGTCGAAAGGAATTTTTATGAACACATTGTTATATCTGATTACTTAAGAATTATTAAATGGATGTACTAACTAAGAGTTATTAAATGCCGTAGTAACTTTCGAAAATTTTACTTAAATTTATAAAAAAATATTTATTTTGTAAAAAATAATGTTAAAGTTACATTATATAAATGTTTATTTTTGTTATTTGCTTGTTAATATTTTTTTTTATCATTATATAAATATTATTGTAAAATGTTTAATAACAGTAGCAGTATAAATTTCTTTTAAGCACGCCAAACAAATATGTTAAAAAATTATATAAATTGTACAATATCTTTATCATAAACAACACTTTTAAACAAAGATACAAAAGAAAGATACAAAAAATATTAATATAAAATAATATTATTATCACACATTTTTTTAGATTAAATAAATAAGCTGTCATCTTTTTTTTAGATACTGAGCTGGACAATTTCATAGGACAAGAGCCAGTCAATATCCAATCTCAATCTCCATTACGGACGAACGAGGATTCTTCTATCAATGCATCTTCTCAGCCAAAAGAATACAAGGATACCGCAAATCAGCCAGAAAAATCTGGATATCTTACATCGATTCTTTCTTCTCTGCCGAATCTGTCATTATCGATTAAATCCGATTCCTCGGGACCGCAAATAAGTCAGATACCCGAGAACACCAGCGGAACAACGCACGAACCTAATCCTTATATAACACCGCAAGGATATCATGGTTTTCCATTGGAAACACCAGGATTCTTAGCAATTAATCCTCAGGATTCTCGAAATACAAACTTGTCAGGATTTACTGCTTTTCCTACTGGTACTGTACCCAATCCTCCTCAGCCGGCAGCTCCACCCAGTATATCTCAACCCGGCTATGGTAAATACTTGAATTTATGAATAAAAATTTATAATTAATAAAATTTGAATAAATATTAATACTTTTTTTTATAGCAAATTTTAAATATTTATTCTATATACATATGTAACATGATAAATAATTCGATAGACATAACATAATGCAATTCCAATAACGAATTCTATTGGATACACTCAGTGTTCACTGGTGCACATTAAAGCCGTTATACACAAATTAATGTAAAAATGTGTTTAATATAAAAGCGGATTAAATCATGAAATCCTCAATTTATTTTACTAGTTGAATAAAATCTATATTTTATAATTCGATATATTTGCATTTTACTTTTGCATAGATTAAATTAGTGTACAATGGCTTTAATATGCATTAGTACATCCAATTCATTATAAAAACTTTAAGGTTAATTTTAATTTTAATTTATTTTTACATGTTACTTATATATTTAATCAATTTTTGTTGGATGTATTATTTATTGTCTCAGCAAAATACAAAGTTATATGTAGCGTATTTGTTAGTTATAATTTCCTACTCAACAATATAACTATAATATAATACACGAACAAATACGTTACATGTAACTTTCTGTTTGCTGATGAGTATATAATATTATACAACACGTGTTTCAAATATATCTAATCAGAAACAATTATTATTTCTTGTTAAAGCGCCCGTTTCTTATCGACTTGGTAATCAACGACGCTTGAAGTATGCACCGCCGCCTGATCTAACGTCTAACACCGCAAAGCCATATCCGAATCCTGCATTACAGACGTTCTTGCCGACTCAAAATGTCTCTGCACCACCAACTATTTTGAATCCATATGAATCGGAAGGATTGGCGCAGGGTAACAATTCTAGTGTACAACAGACTAGCTGTTTGCCCGAACAACTTCCAACGTCTGAGCAGCTATCGCGAAATAGCTCTCTCCACAGCTCGTTTCGTTCCAGTCCAATCGCAACAGGAGCGCAGTATAATTCATCTATAACGTCTACAAATCAGAATCCATTTTTTGAAAGTTCTTCCGTGTCTACGCAATTTCCTTCGTCATTGTCTAGACCGATACCTACACGGATATTGGAGCCTGCAACGCCTCAGAACACTCCGGCGAACATCTCTTTTCCTGGCTTTGCTCCTTACATAAACCAGGATCTACCACCAACATCTAATTCCGATAAAGAAATAGCTGTGATTAAGAACCCTAATCAGCTAAATTTACCGCCGGAATTTTCGAAAGGCGGCACCCTTGAGACGACCGCAGAATCTACAAATAAACCGATATTAATATCGGGAGAAACCGATGCGACATTCACACCAATATCAGCAGCCAAGGTGACAGAGAAATTAGAACATTTACTTGCGGAACAGCAGGAAAATTCGTCCGTAGCAACTCCTGAAACTCTTACAGAAGTTGACAAAACGCCCAGCGTTACTACCGAATTAACAAAATCTTTCGAATCGCAAAGCGACGCGCTAAAGACTACAAATGAGATAATCAATAAATCAAATGAGGCGAAGTTGAATGATGTACAAGAGAAAGCAGTTCAACCTGGAAGTGACACATGGAGTGACGTGTTTCTTGGGCAAGAGTCAACGACGCAATCAGTGATCTTCCCGGAAATACATACTACTGATAACAGTCTGATTGCAATAACTCCTCAATCGGCTAAGTCGAACGCACATCCGCCTCAACAGCATTACCAAACGCAATCGATATCTATGTCAAGCTCCACACTTTATACAGATGAGCCTGCGGAACAAAAGTCCAGCTTAAATTACGTATCACCTATCCAACTTCCGCAAACTTGTTCTTCTGTCGATTTCTACAACGTATCAAAACCAACGGAGCAGTCGGCAAATGTGTTCTTTGAATCAGCGAAACCAAATCGGTTTCCAAGTTTTTCGTCGCAGGAAACAAATACAAATTCTCCATTTGCACAATCAGTAGCTGATGCAACAAATGCAACAAATTTGCTGCAAACTCAAGAAAATTCCGCATTTGATTCTAACGCGATCGAAGGTGTTAAGCGCTGCATCCAGCCAGCCGCCATATACAACGTCTAACCAATCGGTATACACTGCTCCCATCCAACAACCAGCGCCAGTATTCTATGATCCTGCCCAATTTGCGAATGAACCTTCTAAACAACTGACTTTTCCACATACATACGACCAACTTTCTTCTCAACAATCATATCAAAATCCGCCGTTTTACGGAAATAATACTGGGCTGCAACAACCCTACGCTATTCCTGAAAATAATACTGGATATTCTTCGCCCGCTGTATCGGCGACAACGTCAGTACCTGAACCAACGGGATCAGCCACACTTAGTCCTGTTCAAATGTCGGTTAATTCGCCAACCAATCGCATTACACCAGATACCATTCCACCAAGTTTTCAAAGTTGGGTAAGGATATCACAATTTAAATTAAGTTTTTATTTTATTTATAAAATTAAGAATATTTCAAACAATTTATAATTAATGCTAATAATTGATAATCTTTTAAAATACATTTTTACACATATTTAAATTTGTATTTAATACAAAGTAATGAATTATGATTTATTTATTCTTAATTACCCAAAACATAAGTGAGTGATTACACATAATATTAATATTTTTTAGGCTTCTGGATCTTCCGACAAACAAATGCAATACAGATCAGTATATCATCATTGGTTTTACCGTAAGGAAGTGGAGAACAAAACGTTATGGCTACCATTTTCCATGCAAGACAGCTTAAAACTTGAAGAAGTTCATAATTCAAGCGATATCACGCCCGAAACTACAGTAGCTACTGATGGCGGTCGTTATGATGTTGATATCTTACGTCGTCAAAGAGCACCAGTCTATTGGACTGGAACATCTAATGAAGTTAGGCGATGTTCTTGGTTTTTCAAGGGAGCAACTGAACCGAGATATGTTCCTTACAATGAGAGCACTGCTGCCAAACTTGAGGATGAATATAAGCTGGCATGTCTCTCGAACAACTGGAATCGAAGAATTGAATTAAGTAATGGAGAATATATTGTCTTCCATAGTGCTACAGTGCAGGTTCATTACCTACAACCGGTTTCTCCTGACGTGGCAGGATCTTGGGGAAATAACGCTGTAAGTAGGTCAATTATATATACAGGGAGTTAAGTATGTTGCTATACTCAACAGAGCCATTCTTTATTCTTGAAATAAAGAATCACTCTATTGAAGGCAACATACTTAACTAACACCCTATATATAATAAATTAAATGTTGAATAATGTTTGATAATAAATGAAGGAGTAATATTTTGCATAAAATATTTCATTAAAACTTGATTATGAAAGCTTTATTTAGAAAATAAAATAATAAAGAAATTAAATAAGTATCTACATAAGAAATTAAAGTATAATTGTTAAAGTGCTCTTTTATTTACAATGCTTAAAGTAATAATATTTAATTGCGCAAATGTTATATGATATTATTTTTTCATTATTTCTTTAAACATTTTAATTGCTACTACAAATTTGCCTTTTATAATGCAATTTAATATAAAAAAAAATTTTGCTTTACAGTTTACAATTAAGCTTTCAGTTTTGTTGAGTAACACTACATTATACTTTTAATTATGCTTAGCTTTATATGTATAACTTTTGATCTATATGTTATAATTAAAAATAACAGCACACAAAAATATATAATATCGTAAATATTATACTATTTCGCACTTATTTAATTTATTTTGCAAAGCATTATTTGCTTATATTTTAAAATACTTTTTTATTAATTATTTTATCTTTTTCTTAAGTTATTTTTTTATAAATTACTTTTATTATTTAAAATGTGTAAAGAGTTTTGTAATATTGCACGCATGGTTCTGTTTGATATGGTCGATCCTAATTTCTACAGGCTTCAGAGGACAGTACATATTTACAGGGTTCTGCAAGTAGACCAAAAACTGTTAAAAGAGGAGTAGATGAATTCAATATAGATGAGGGTGAGCCTGAAAAAGTGGATCATCTTCTGTTTCTTGTACACGGTATTGGTAGTGTTTGCGATCTGAAGTTTCGCACTGTAGAAGAAGTTGGTAAGTTGCGGAAAATATAATATTAATTTGAAATAAATTCCTTATACATAGTTATTTATATATAAAATTCAAAGTATTAGGTGTTGGAATTAATTCGTAGCGTTTTACAAGTGATGGGAAGTACTTTCATTAATGTATTTTTTAATGCTCATGTGAAATAAATAACATTCTTTCATTAAAAAACGCTACGAATTAATTCCAACACCTAATATAATATTAACGTCATTAATTTTTCAGTTGATGAATTTCGAAGTATATCATTTCAATTGGTGCAATCACATTATCGTACTGCATGCGAGCAAGGAATTGTAAATAGAATAGAAGTTTTACCGATTTCCTGGCATACAACACTTCATTCAGATACGGGAATTGATAAACGACTACAAGCTATCACATTGGAGAGTATTCCGAAACTGCGACATTTTACTAACGATACTTTACTTGATATACTTTTCTATACTAGTCCTATATATTGTCAAACTATCATGCAAACAGTCGGAAGTGAGCTGAATAGATTGTATTCACTATTCAAAGAAAGAAATCCTATCTTTGATGGAGAAGTATTCTTAGGCGGTCATTCATTAGGTAGTTTGATCATGTTTGATTTATTGTGCCATCAAACACCTGAGAAAGAAGATGAAGATATGGACAACGAGGAAGTGAGTAGCAATAAAAAATATAAATAAAAAAAGTTTATGTATTTTATTTTCAATCTTATAATTTAAATGCTTTTACATTTTTTATATTTACTTCTAAAATATTTATTGCAATTGCAGGAAGGTGACAGTATTGGGCCTATTCAACCAATGCCTGCAGCTATTATCAAAAGACGTCTTAGTAGAAAAGTCAGCTATGTAATGGGAACTGCAGGAACAGGCCAGCCTTATATACATTATCCGCAACTCACTTTTCGCCCGGGTGCCTTCTTTGCTCTTGGTAGTCCGATTGGCATGTTCGTAACGGTCCGAGGCATCGATACTCTAGGAGAAAATTTTACTTTGCCTACTTGTCCGGCTTTCTTCAATATCTTTCATCCGTTTGATCCAGTAGCTTATCGAGTAGAGTCCTTAATTAATCCTGAGGCCAGCAATTTTCGACCTATGCTGATACCACATCACAAAGGCAGGAAGAGAATGCATTTAGGTGAGTACTTATATTCGTGTGAAGTTGGCCTTCCAACTTTTGAGAAAATTAATTTTTCATAGCTCATCGTTTGTACATTTATGTATACTGAATTTTTGTTTGCACACTTCTAATAAGAAAGTTACTAGAAGTTAGTTAAAAAAACAATTTTGAGAGGGCTAACTTCACATTAGCTTTCCAACTTCGAGCAAATTGGATCGAAAAGATCATAATCGATAAATTTTCATTTGCATATTTCGAAAAAATTCGATTTTTCATTCGCACACCCTTAGTTAAAAACATAATCATAATTAATTTAAAGTTTCGAGAAGAGTCGAAAGCGGCTAATAGATTCAAATCGCATCTATGCATAAAATGGCATGAATCGATAGGGTTTTCGTTTGCATATTTTAAAACAAGTTGATTTTTTATTTACACACCTTTAGTTTGTTTATTAACAAATGGGGACCAATTCCCCATAGAAATTACGTTTTCAGCTCGAATTTAATGGGGGAGCCTGATATAATTCACTGAAAATAACACGATCTTTGGGAATTTTCCTTAAAGAGATGATTCGATGAAATTTTTTGAAACTTTAGGATGTTGAAGTATATTTGTAATTTTGCAATTTTAAACGACTTAATAATGAATATGATTGTTTGCTCCAAGAGGGAAGTGCCTTAACGGATGCAGCACAAAAATTAAAACTATGTGAATATAAAAGCGCATAAATAGTACATAAATCCTGTATATTTGATTTTCTATATCGGTTCTTATTAACACGGGGGGGGGGGGAGGCGCTAACTGATAGCCTGCTCAGTCCCCACAAAAAAATTTTTTTTAACTAAACGAAATAAGCGCAATTTTTTTTGCGGGGTTTGAGAGCGCATTATTATATAATTATATAATATTCATTAAAATTTGATTAAGTCGGGGAGCCAGCTAGGTAGATGTATTTATTGGTAAAGTTAGCCCCTCCCCCAAAATTGTTTTTTTTAATAACTTTTTAACTAAAGGTGTGGAAACGAAAAATCGATTTGTTTTGAAATGTGCAAACGGGAACCTATTGATTCATATCATTTTGAGCATACTAGGTGCGATTCGAACCTATTTACCGCTTACTCTTCTCGAAACTTTAAATTAATTGTGATTATGTTTTTAACTAAGGGTATGCGAAAAATCGAATTGTTCCAAAATATGCAAACGAAAATCTATCGATTATGACTTTTTCGATCCAATTTGCTCAAAGTTGAGGGGCTAATGTGAAGTTAGTTCTCCCAAAATTGTTTTTTTAGTAACTTTCTTACTAGAAGTGTGCAAACAAAAATTCAAAGTGTATAAATGTGCAAACGATGAGCAATCGAATAAAAGCTATGGAAAATTAATTTTTTCAAATGTTGGGGCCAACTTTACACGGGTAGTACTTATTGTTAAATTTTTAAATATGCGCGTTATGATTTATAATAATAAATTATGTTCTAGGTTAAACTTACCTATACAGCACAAATTATTCCAGCAATGTTGCAATGTTCTATTGTAATATTGCAATAATATTACAAGCTTACAGCGTTATTGCTGTAAACTTCTGTGTTGTATGGATATATTCTTACTAATATTATTATTTACAGAACATGTTCTTACTAATATTATTATTTACAGAATTAAAGGAGACGATGGCACGTGTCGGAGCGGATTTGAAACAAAAATTAATTGATTCTGTAAGGCAAACATGGAACTCTTTCTATCAACTAGCCTTATTTCATAAGCCAGACAATCAAATTTTTGAACGCGAAATTGATAAAGTCGTCGAAGAACAATTACACAAACCACCAAGCGTACCAGATCAACATAACAACGATGATGATGGTGTCAATTTAAAAGTAGGAAAACTTAATGGTGGTCGCAGAATAGATTACGTTCTTCAAGAAGCGCCTTTTGAATATATTAATGAATATATTTTTGCTCTTACAAGTCATATCTGTTATTGGTAAGTAGTACATTTCTTACGAGAAATACTTTGCTTTATATACATATTATATACTATTTATAATTTGATTTTAGGGAATCTGAAGATACTATGCTTTTAATATTAAAAGAAATATATGGGTCTAAAGGTATTCAGACCGATGCACAACTTCCTCAGCAGTCAATGTCAATTGAGAGAATGTCTCCTTCTCCATCTTTGAATTTTGCAGCTGCTTTGTTACCCAGTAAAAATAATATAAGAACATCATTTGTTATGGGCGTAGATCCTACAGTGCCTATGTCCAGTAAACCTGTCGGTCCACCACCTAAGACTGGTTTTGTACCGAAATCCTGATCGATGGAATATTTTTCCCCTAATTATATGCTGCGAGATTAAATTGGAACAGAAATTAATCTTATTTTTAATTAATATTTAAAAAAGGAGCAATTAGGTTGACATTAAAAAAATGGAATGCAGAACAATCAAACTTTGTATTTTATAATCTTTCAATTATCTGTAAATTTTAGTATTATTTAATTTATACAAATATCAAATATTAATTGCACAAAAATTGGCCTACGTATTCAGCTCTTCAAAACTTAGTTATTTTATAGCAAATTAGTTATTAGATAGGTAAAGAATGTAAATAATGATTCGATTAGTTGGTATGTTGAAATAATCGGTAATTTTTTATTGCAATTTGCGTTTATTATCTTCATATCTAGTGCATATTTGTATACATTATTGATATGTAAACTATGTGTAATTGTAATTGTATGATCGAAAATATATATGAAGCGTTAACTAGAGAAGAAAAATATGAAAATGAGAATGTGTAAATGAAATAATATGTAAATATATAATTTAGTTGGATAAAGATGTAGTAGATTATATATAAACATTTTTATAATCTGCTTGAATGAATTATTACATACCAATTTTGATTCTTATGTATGCGCGTATTTTAATAAATTACTGTATTCTTTTATATTATTATTAATTATCTATATTCCCTTACACATAATTTGATTACAGATTTGTAATTGTGTTGTCAAATATCATTATTTATAGTTATTAATAATATTACTTTCAAGTTCATGTCAGTTACGAATAGCGATACGTGACAAAATTATGGAGAATTTCAACTTCAGCAATCTCAACATCGTGCAGTCAGGCAGTGCCGATATGTTCTTTAAAATGGTGTTACATGTTCAATCGGATCAGCGAATGGCGTCACCTTATCGCGCAAGTAGCTTTAGCAGGGCTAGAGAAAAAAAGAGAACGCTTCGGCACATGCACGGCTATCACGAAACGCTAATTAATTGCGGTGCAAGCCCACCAGGTTCGAGACTGCTTTGCATTTTGCGTGCAGGCCCTCGTAAAACTACATGCCTGTCAGCCCCGGCGAATTTCAAGATGATTTATCGTCCTCGCAAAACTAAGTTTTTCGCGGTACTTCGTGGCTTCTCAGCGGCTCCGAAAGGCACGGCCGACGCTTTCGACATGCAACTGTGGCCGGTGTGGGCACGATCCGTAAAGTTGACGTCGCTGATCGACTGCTATTTTATATCCTCACCATCTAGTCGGACTGACTTTGAAATATGTTTCTTTCAAATCTTTCGATGTGAAGTTTTCGGTTGGCACGTTTCACGGTGACCCGCATACGCTATAATTGCGGGGAAATTAAGTGCCGGGTTTTACGTGACGGCGTTTAATATGTATGGCTGAACCTGTATTGTCACGCGAATAATCATGCACACGGAAAGTCATGTCGTATATCAATCTTTCTTTAATTTTGTCAAATTATAACAAGAATCGAGAGATGCATGGACGAAAGACATATGGACATTGAATAAATTTCATAAGCTTCTTCTTAATACAATATAATATTGATATAATTGTAATCTAAGATGCATCTAAACTTTAATGTTAAATAACTATCTATGTATATAATTGAATCTATATAAATTCTTTGTGTTAAAAAATACCCCGAATTGTTTTTAGAATATCTAGCAGTTTTTCAAGAAGTTGGTAATTAGAAATTTTATAAACATGCAGTTTCTTACTGCACCAGATACTTTTTATTTTTACGGGATATAAAATCTAGGAAAAAATATTAATATGCAAATATGTTTTTTTATATAAAAATATATTTTCCTTGAGTTTTCCATAAAATTTGCTATGTTAGAAATGGCTATTCTCGAATATGCTATTCTACATTGTTATTTTCGCATACAATGCTATTCAAATCTGGCTGTCCGACAATTCGATATGCTTTGGTTACTGTGTGTGATGCGCAACCACGTTTTCCTTTTCAACATGCAAATACTCGTACATCGCGAGACAGACGTTTACGCTCAACGGCGGTAACATAAAATGGGGTAAGGGTAAGATTTTATAACAAGCTCTACTAAGAGTGATTTACACCTCGGAAAAACTCCACGACATTTACGATAGCTACTCACGAATTATTTATAGCATCTGGCTATGGCAGGGTGAATTTCACATGTACTTTTCTTTGTTTTTCTGAAGAGATCGTTGAGGTCATGATGAAGTAGATATTAAAAGTTTCTATTAAAACATTGGGGATATCTATTTAGATAAATTTTAGCTATGAAATTAAAAACACGGAAAGCTTAAGCCAACAATAACGAGTTATTAATATTTAAAAAAGGCTTGTGTTCTTTTTTTATGATATAATTAATTTGAATAAAGTATATTGTAAAATGTTTTATATTCTTTTAATGTGTAAAAATGCAGACATAATATTTTTATTTTAAGATTAGACTGTGTAAAAAAGATCATAATAGTAAAGAAGAAAAAAAATTTATATGATCCATTTAAAACTGCACTTACCATCAAACATGAGATGATTTTATTCAAAACGCAATAAAATTATGAAGAAAAATGTGTTGTTAGTCTTTACTCATCGAAGTATGAGCACGCATAAATTTATTAACTATTTTCTTATTGATTTAAAATACAAAGTAGTTCAAAATTAGAATTTACTTATTCTTCATTTTGGCATGCTATTTATCTGTAAGATCTACGCACGCGCTAAGAGTTTGCAATTCCATTATTAGGAGACTTTAGACATTCTATGCTCTAGTTGGCGTGCATTTAAGTAAAATTAGTTGATTTTAATGTGTAAGTATGCGAAAAGCTGCTGTGTTTAGCAGCTCGTCGCGGCGTGAAACAATTCTCGAACATCGATATGCCAGATGATACGTTAAAAACTTTGTGAGTATTATTTCTTCTTGCAATCATTATTCCGATCATTCTTATCAATTCTATTTGTACTTACATACATGCATATATATATTTTAAATAAATTTATCTATTTACGTCTATATTATCTATTTGCATCTTATTTTAAAGAAATTTATTTAAAAAATTACTTTAAAAATAAGTTTTTGGAATTTTAAAACAATTCTATTGGATCTAAAACAATTCTATTTCTTGAAGTACGTTTTTGAACTCTGAAATATTATACATTTGTTTATATGTTTGTTAATATATATATATATATATA